TCACACTCCTTCTGCCCACGGGCAACCGCCATCCCTTCAAGATCGACGACCGGTACTTGACCAAGCGTGGTGTCGAGGTGCCCGACGTGACCGAAGCTGGTTTCAAAGATCCATTCAGTGTCTCTGTCTACAAGCTGAAAGAGTTGATCCTTCGCGAGTGGCGCGAAGACTGGGAGAGCAAGCCGGCCAGCCCGAGCAGCATAAGACTGATTCATTTCGGCAAACTGCTTGACGACAAAGAGCAGCTGAAGAGTACGTATTTTCTACATTGTCCTGTTTCCAGTTGCCCAGTAGATTAACCAAGCAACAGAGTATCACTTCAGTACCGACTCGCCAAACGTGGTTCATATGTCTGTCAAGCCGCCAGAGATGGTAGAAGACGAGGAGGCTGCTAAGAACACCAGCGGAGGGCGTGAAGCGCGCCGGAGAGAGGGCGGCTCCGGCTGCTGTGTTATCTTATAAACAGCTGTTAGCGGTTTTTGCTTTTGTCTCCTCCCACCGCCCACGCAAGCATCCACACGCATATACATGCATACGAAACACATGCGTGCGCGCAAGCGTATACACACATCGACGAGGCCGTCATGTCTCGAATCGTTCATTAATATCAGGGGCTGGGGCCGTCTAGAGTTGTCTACTATGTTCATTCCCCTCTTTGTTGTCGCCCACCCAATCCGCCCCTCGCCCCTACTGTCTGCCTACATGTTTTTCAGGAGTTTGCCAGCCTCTTGTTTATTTTGGGCAATCGTTCCAACCCTTTTTTACATAGAGGATGGGGGAACGAGATGCCGGGCGTCTTGTGATTTCTTGTGATTTGCTGGTACTTGTTGTTGTCGTGCTTGGTTTCCACTGTCTCCTATTGTCTTGGCATTCATTTTCAACGGCTTTGTTCATGTATATTTTTCCGCGTTCATTATTATTATATGTCATCACGTGCATGTCTTTTCTCAATGTCATCGCTTACCATTCCCTCCGACCTGTTGGTGTTCCCTTTGTTCCCTCCCTCTTTGGCCTTGTTTACGGCTTTCCTCCCATTCCCGACCGTGTCTTTTGTACATCATTCTCACGGTATAAAAATATAATAACGAAGACGGTGTTGTCTTGGTTCACTACATCCCTTCACATCAAACACCATGTAAAACGAGGCCTGTGCAGCAGATTGCATGAGTGCGATAAAATGTGTATTGCATGAGCCCCTAAAGTGTTGTTACAGAACGGCACAAATAATGAGGCCGGTGTTGCCTTCCGTCCTCCGCTTCGTCCGTTATTGGCAGTAAGTCCCCCTTTTTCACATCCGGAGCTTCCGCTCCATCTCTTCGTGGAATGTCGGCACCGCCCGCGATTCCTCGCCCGTGTAAATGTCCTCCCAGTCGACCGTCGTGTCCCGGCCTAGCAGAATGTCTTCGTGCACGCTCGGCAGCAGAGCGCTACCTGGGCCCGCGCTGCCCAGCGCCAGCGGCCGCCACTCGCCGTCGCGCGTAATCTTGAGCTCCATCCCACGGCGCACCGGCTCAGCCACGCCGTACGTCCGCCGCAGCATCTCCATCCGCATGTTTTCGCGGGTGGCCTCCCACTGCTTCAGGCGGGCCTCGAGAGGATGGGCGGAGTCGAGCTGCGGTGCGGCGGCGCCGGTGGCAGCGGCTTTCGATGACAGGTCGGAAGAGGGGGCGGCGACCTTGGGGCCGACACCATGGCGCATCAGGTCGTGGACGCCCGGGGCAGAGGGGGCGCCCCGTTCGCGGTGGGCGACATGGCTAAAGGAGTCGGCATGTGCGTCGACGGGGACGATGCGGAGAGACTAGAGAGAAGGACCGGTGTGTTAGTAGAGCTGTAAAAGGTGGCAGACAAGGCGTAACCGGACTACATCGACCAAGGGAAGCGTCTCGTCGATGCAAACAGTGCACAAATGCATCAATCACGAGAGAGACATACCATCTTAAGAGAGGCGGAGGAAGGCGGAAGTGGCCGGTGGTGCAGAGAAGACGGGCGACAATGAATTGGACGTTGTCGATTACTCTGAAGAAAGGCTTGAGACGGCGGGACAAGGTGTTGCTTCAAAGGAAAGACGCCGTAATGTTGCGGGTGATGAAATGAGGTTGGCTGGATTGCTTAAGACAAGGCGTGGAGGCAGGCTGCAGCTTGCTGTCGCAGCTCGTACCACGCCGTCCTCTCAACCAATCAGAGTGATTAGCTCATGGTGCTTATGATTACACGTGACTTTACACGTGCCGCTTTTAACGGCACGGAGGTCCCTTAGCGTCCCCGGACTGCGTGCAGCCACAGTGTAATATGGAGGGGGAAGACCCCTGGAGCTCAGTTGACAACAGCGCTTCTATGAGATAGACCGTACACCAGATGTGATATAAGAGATGCCGATTCTCACCAGCAGATTTCAAGATGGCACTCTGGTGACCATGACTTGTGGACAACATTTTTATTTTTAATCTTAACAACTCAAATTCATGTTCCTTGGTCGTTTGTTGTTATATACGTCCTAATTGGCGTCATATACCACAAACAAGCCAGCACAATGCCTTCTCTCACAGGGGCGCGGCCGCCCATCATCCGCATCGCCAAAGGCACATTCTACCGGCACCACCCAAGCTCTGTCCCCGTCAGTGATCCATCAGGCGGCGCAAGTGGGATTGCTCACCACAATCCACCCTTGCTCTCTGACCTAGACTTTGAGCTCCCTTCGGACGATACGGCTCATGGCGGCGGTGCAGGTCGCGGCCCTCTGACGCCTCACAACTGGTGCGTTGTGGGACCGTCTCTGTCCGGCAAGACAACCTTGCTCCAGGCCCTGCGAGGTCAGCACATCTGCCTGCCTCCCACCGCACGGTCCTATCCGTACTTGGCGACGGACAGTGTGCCGCACCGTCTCAAGAGCGCCTCGCGTGCCATCCGCTATGTCGGCTTCGACGCCGACGGCAGTGGCTCCGGTCTCGGCCCGGCGACGTCTGCGTACCTGTCTGCCCGGTATGAGTCACGGCGAGAAACGACCGACTTCTCGCTTCGGGATTTCCTCCTTGGCAATACCGAGCTGAACCCATACCACGGAGAGGGCAGTGCGGCCGCCGGCGAGGAAGACGAACGCATCCCTGCCAGTCTTCTCGACCGCGTCATCAAAGACCTTCGGCTCGAACCCCTTCTCGAGCTGCCCGTTGCCTTTTTGTCCAATGGCCAGGGCCGCCGGGCCCGGATTGCACGTGCACTGCTAACCCGCCCGGCCGTTCTACTGCTCGACGAACCATTCATGGGCCTCGACCCGCCCACGGTGGCATCGCTGAGCCCGCTACTGAGCGGAATGGCTGCCAAGGCCCAGCCGCGCTTTGTTCTCAGCTCGCGTCCGCAAGATCCTCTGCCGTCGTGGATCAGCCACTTGATCTACCTGCGCACCGACTGCCAAGTGGGCGCCATGGGTCCGCGAGACGTTGTACTCGAGACCCTGCGCAACTATGTGCACGGTGTGCGCAGCGGCAAGACGGCCGAGGACGAGACACTGCCTGTGCATGCGCTCGGCGAGATGGGCCGCATTCTCACGCCGAGCGGCATCGAAGGCAGAGGTTTCGACGAGGCGAGCCACAGCACGCATGCTTCGGCGGATGTGCCAAAGTCGCCATCGTCACAACCGACAAAAGTCGCTCTAGGTGAGCCGATTGTCGAAATGAACGGCTGCGTCGTCAAGTATGGTGACCGTATTGCGCTCGGCAACTGGTCGCAACGGGTGGCCGATGGCTCGACCGTTCCAGGCCTGATCTGGACCGTCCGCCGTGGTGAGCGCTGGGGCGTGTTTGGTCCCAATGGCTCCGGCAAGACCACCATTGTCTCCCTGCTGTGCTCCGACCACCCTCAGACCTACTCGCTGCCCATCCGTCTCTTTGGCCGCAGCCGTCTGCCCGAGCCCGACCGTCCTGGACGGCCTCTGACCTTTTGGGACATTCAGTCCCGTGTCGGCCACTCCAGCCCGGAAGTGCACCAGCACATGCCGCGCGGCCTGACTGTGCGCCAGATCGTGCAGAGCGCCTGGGCGGACACGTTCCGTGCCAAGCCGCAGCTGGCTCCCAATGCTCCTGGCAAAGTGGATGCATGTCTGCGGTGGTTCGCGACGGAATTGCAGCCCAGCAGCGGTGGTGGTGGTGGCGGCAGCGTCGCGGCGGCGAGCAAGAGCGATGCCAATGACCTGGCGTGGGCCGACAACTACTTGTTTGGCGAGCTGTCGTTTAGTGCACAGCGCGTGCTTCTCTTCATCCGTGCCGTCGTCAAGAACCCCGACATTGTCGTTCTTGACGAGGCCTTTAGCGGCATGGACGAGAGCGTGCGGGACAAGTGCGAGCTCTTCCTCAGCCACGGCGAGACGGCGACGTATTCTGCGGACAACAAGATCGTCGAGAGCGAGGCGGCCAAGAAGAATAAGGTGCAGGTACACGGCTTGACGGACCAGCAGGCGCTGATTTGTATTGCACACGTCAAGGAGGAGGTGCCCGACTGTGTTCGGGAGTGGGTGTGCCTTCCAGAGGCGAACACCACGTCGGCGGCGCGCTTTGGCCGCTTGGATGGTCCGCTGCGGACAGACCGACGGCGGTGGGACGAAATCTGGGCACAGTAAGCCGGTGGCCATAAAATGAAGTCAGTCATGAAGCAATGAGCGGGTAATAAAAAAGGCACAAAAAGCATATTGAAGCAGATCCAATTTCATAGCATTTCACACATTATCAAGAAAAGCCAACAACAAATATCAAAAAGTGCAGAAACATCAAAACAAACGCCTGTCCCAAACATAGAGCCACTCTCATAGAAAGAGGCACTGCCTTGCAAGGCCAGCGTAAAACAAAACCCAATCGCAGCATCCACCTCTCTTCCCTTTCCAGCCCTTCGTACTCGTACAATCTACTCGTCTCGTTCCGTTACTCCCAGCCCAGTCAAGTCCCAAGGTATCAAAAAATCCGATAATGATCCAAGACAAATCATTGAAAAATTGTTCAGCTCACCGCACAGCATCATCGCCGCACGCTGCTACCGATGCTGCTCATCGTCTCGCTCATCTTTGAGCCGAAGCCACCAATCCACTCAGGCACTTTAAGCGACAAACGAACGCGACCCTCAATAATAACATTGATCGCGTTGATGACAGCAAATGTGGTTGAGCCAATCGCACGGAACAGTGCCAGACTCGCCACAGACCAAAGAATGAAGCGCAGGTAGAAGTTGTTGCCGATGCCACTAGAGCCGTACGCCTCAGACACGGCCATGGCCAGGATGCCGTTGGCAATCATCCATGTCACGACCATGTACGTCCGCACGCTCTTGTAGTAGTCTTCCTGCATCTGCGCCTCGGAGACGGGGGCCGGGGGAACTTCGACACGATCGCGCAGATTCCGCAGGGCCTCGTCATAGCCGCTGTCAATGTCCAGCTGCTCGGACGGCATCTCGAGCTCAACTGTGCTGCCCTTTCCCACAGCGCCACCCAAGTCGGTTTTGAGCACGTTGTCGCCCTTTGTACCCCAGGTAACGTCGTGGGTGTTGCAGAAAGCGTACACTTGGAGTGTGCAAATATAGCTGGGCAGAAGCGTAAAGTACTGCGCAGACGACGTGAACATGTGCCAGGGGTCGAGATACAGGAAGGACATGAAGAAGTACAGTCCCACTGTCGATGCCGTAGAAACGATGAGGTTGGTGAATACGTTGTTGCCGATTTTTAGGACGGTGCTAGAGTCGCGCAGTTGCCGAATCACAATGTAGAGCGTCGCAAACGTCGTGTAGACCATGATGATGCCGTACACGATCATGCTGGTCATGTACAGCTTCTTGGCACCCTGGGGACGATTACCCAGAGACAAAATGAATTGGGTAGCAATCAAAAGAGTGCAAGTATACCGGAGAACCGTAAAGATGTACGACCCGATATTGTGACCGAAGGGATCCACAGTCGGATCGGCCAGACCACCGGCGACGAAATAGAATGTGAGGTAGAAGTTTGCCAGGGAGAAGTACGTGAACAGCAGTTGGAGAAGCTGGTACAAGAACTCTATGTGCAGCAGAATCTTGCGGGGAATCGTGTGATCCGTTGACCACAGCTGCTTGAAGTGCACAAGTGAGTACACAGCCGCAAAGAAGGCACCATTCAGCCACCGTCGCCGCTGCGAGATGAATTCCGGTACACTATCCGGAACGTCAGTCTCGCCAGTACAGCTCTTGACATACTTCAGGACCCAGCGCTCGCCACGTTTCGCTACAAGCTCCCAGCAGAGAATGCGATCCTCGGCCAGGTACATGTTTGCAGTGAACACGTCAGCATGTTGGCCGTGGAGGGTTTCTCCCTTGAAGTATTGGCTGAGGGGGCCGTGGCCGGTCTCGTCATTTTGCAGGGCGTGGTAGCGGTACGCACTCAGAGCACCTGGAAGCACTGTGATGTAGCCGAAGACACTCTCCAGTGGCTTGTCCAGGATGTTGCTCATCTTGTACTCGAAGTTTTGCGATGCCACCAGCGGATTGAGAAGGTTCCCTCCAAAGCGCCCCTTCATAGCCTTGATTTCACCACAAGCGCCAGCGACGTTGGAATCCGTGTCAAAGGCCTTCCACAGGTGATAGAGGGAGTTGTTGCCAGGCCGAGTACCAACATCTAGGAGGATGCAGACGTTGGGGTTAAGCGAGCGGCCAAATGCGTTGAAGAACCAACGATGGGAGTTGAGCTTCCGCTGGTTACGCTCCTTGAGACAGAAGATCATCTGGCACGGAACAATGCCCTTCTCAGCACCCTTGAATTTGAGGTCAGAGTCCAGAGACACCTGTGTCGTATACTCGTAAACGTGGGCCTGGACTGCCTTTTGGTTGACAAAGTTCTTGGCGATGCCGTGCTGGTAGATGCCCATAGCTGCAAGAGCATCAAGCGTGCGCGGGTGGATCCTCTCACGACCATCAGAGACGATGCACACCACGATCTTTTGCCAGCCGTTCTCGCCCCATGTGCGAGACTTGTTGCGGCCACAGAAGTGAGCAATGTTTTTCATGACGGCGTGCATCGTCCGAGTGAAGTCGTAGGCGTTCTCGTTATACATCGTAATGCAGATAAAAAGTTCCGTCTCGCGAGCTGTACGGCCGATGCTCTGACGGAGTTTATATCCGCGCTCAACGAAATCGTCCGGGTCGCAGGTCACAGCCGTGTACCGCATGTGCGTGAACTCGATCTCGTCTCTCCGGGGCAAAAAGCTGAACAGGATAGTCGGGATCTTGCATTCAAGGACCAGCTTACCATTAATAAGCTGGACGGCTTTCTTGCTCGTGTGAGGTTCCCGAACACCGCGACGCTCCTGCCGACCCTCGGGCGCGGGCCCGTAGTGCTCTACTTTTTCATTTCTGTAGTTCACGTCGCTGTCGGCATCGCCGTCATCATCCACTCCGTTCTTGTGTGCATACATGTCGCCGATATCTTTTCCTCCATCTTCGTCTTCGCCACCTGCTTCAGGATCGTTCAGGGTGACTTGGGAGAAGTTGTTGCCGTACATTGTCTGGCGGCTGCGACTGGCACCAGAAATCTCGGAGTGTGGTCGGAACACGTCGTCGTCATCACCTTCGTCGTCCATGTTGCTCGCAGCCTCGTACCGGTATGAGGCGTTGCTACCGCGTGGCCGGTGTGATTGGCTATGCGTAGTGTAAGCTGAGCTGACGCCGGTAATTTCACTCATGTCTTCTTCATCACCCAGAGGAATGGAAACAGTCGCATCATCGGCAAACGTAGATGTCCGAGCATTCCCACCAGCTGTTGAGAAAAGTGGGGCCGGTGGAAGAGGCCGACGGGGGCTTCCTCCGTACTGAGAAGCCGGCGTTCCTGGACGCGGGCTTCCATTGATATCGGCAGATTCATACTGCGCTGGAGAAGGCGGTACTCGGGTATATTCGGGCGCCTGTGCCGTGGAAAATGAGTTCGAGTGTGCATGCTGGGCCATGTTATTGGCGTAACTACGGCGCGACGGCGTCCATGGCCGCGTAGGCGAAGTTGAGCGAGGCAAGTCTCCGCGCACTCCGCGAAAGGGCGAGTACGATGAGTCTGGCGGTGGTGGCATCATGATGGGCGGATCGATGGATGAACGACTGGGACTCGTGGAGACCTGGAAGGTGTCCTGTGAAGCTGAGAAGCGAAGTCTGTCTGCGTTAGCATTGTGTTGTGTATGTGTTCTGGTTATGCCATCGAGGATACTTTGAGGGATGAATGTTTCCTTGTCATGCAAGTCACCGTTGCCGAACAGGGTACCCAATCCCGCAGTTGAACCGTCAGAGAAAGGAGACAACTGAGGAGGGCCTGCTGTACCTCGACTCTGTGACACAAGGGGACATGGCATAGACACAGATTTGGTAGGCTCTAGGCCGGACCCGTTCGGCATCTTTCGTCGCAGCTTAATGGTCGGTGTCCTTCCCCTTCCAAGGGCAGCCACTGGCCGCCGTTGGAGAGACGGAGACGGGCTGGTAGATGCATCAAGAGCCTCGACACTGGTGGGAGACGAACACTGGTCCTGAACAAACTTGACAATCTTGTGCCGTGCGCTCACTGTCTGCTCCTTTCCGCCAAAAGGAGGCACGTTCGCCTCTTGAAGCCGTCCACATTGCTCTCTCTGTTGGCGACGTTTGCTTTGTTCGCGCTGTTCCAGCGAAGACACAGCGGCAGCCACTTTGCTGGGGAGGGAAAGGGGAGAGGTGCTTGAAGCAGCAACAGCAGCTCGCGATGCAGGAGGAGTAAGGAAAGAAGCTGTTGAGCTGACATACGACGTCGATGATCCCAGAGGACGAATCTCGGGGAGCTGCGGCGGCACTGCTGAGATGCTGCCACGGTGAAGAGACGGGGCGCCAGAAGTGCGCAGAGAAGGAGGCGTCAGGGCGTCGTCGTCGAGCGCGCCACCTCCGTCCATCGAAGTCAGGAGACGCACAGCGGCAGGGTTTGTCGATGTCGTGTGCGATTGCGTGGTGGCTGCTCCCGTCAGAGAATCGTGCGCGCCATGACTATCGCTGTCTCCGGTATAGCCAAGATAGTAGTCCGGCGGACGCGAGGGCGTGCCGGGGTCCATCGCGTTTATCGGGGACGGATCTGTGTTGTTTTTATAGATTGATCGTTCTCACGAAGGAATCGTACTTTAGAACTGTGTGCGTTCTCTGTGCTCTTAATGTTGTATTGTGAATCGTAAGAGCAGCTCTCGTGGTTCTTTGGTATGTTGCTCGCTCCGCTAATGAAAGGTTAGTCGTAGTGATCGACAGGGCCGACAACAAAAGGTACTTGGGGCGCGAGGCGAACCTACGGTATAATTCGCGGAATGCTCGTCAAGAATCTTCAAAAAAGCTTGAAGCTCAAAAGTACTGACTGTAAATTGAATGAAGCACAACAAAGTGTCTATAGAGAAGGGAAAGAAGGTGGGTGAAGAAGAAGTGGCCCGAGCAGGAAAGAGCAGACTACTGGTAGATGCGGAAAGAAAGAGGGAGCTGTCCTGCTGCCCTTCTTGTGTCCTCGTTCATGCCCAGTTCAGCTACAGAAACAGACACCAAACAAGATTTCACTTGTTTTGAGAGCAGGTGCGACCGGGAATGGGGGGTCGCAACAGAATGTTGATGGCCGTTGCTGGGGAGACGCCCCAATTGGGAAGGATGCCGCAACATGCTTGCGCTACCTAACCGCCTCGATAGGCTAAACTTTTTCGAGCTGGGAACAACAAGAAAAATCCCCCATCCACGAAAAGATCTAAAAATACGACATAACACGCGAATTCCACTGGTTTGTCGTGGACAAATGAATTCCGATAAAAGAAGCGAATATCGAAGACGTCTTGACAAATGGGTATGTCTGGAGAGAATGCCTGCACATTCACATACTTTTATCTAGCTATGCGCTTCTTATGGTCCGTCTCACTCATTTTTTATCTGTTCAAAGGCTTTAAATGTGGTATAATTATCAAACCCGATTCGCAGTATTAATAGAAAACAAAACGCCGACACAAAATGCCAATCCAACAATATGTATGTGGTCTGTCGTGTCAATTTTTTTAATCCGTGTGTGCTTTGCCTGCAATTCTTTCACCTTTTTACTCTTCGTCGGACTCATCCTCAGGGATCTGCAAAGGATATGTTAGTACACAAAGGCCTGAATCGCAAAACGGTAAGTTAGGAAAGCTAATTGAGTATACTCACATCGTCGTGGAAGTCCTTGCCATCCCGCGTGGCCGTGATAATGCCGACGCGAATGACAAAGTCGCCAAAGTGCTCGCCGTCGTTGCGCTCCAGAGCGTACCGCTTCAGCAAGGGCTTCATAATGGCCAGGATCTCGTCCTCCTTAATGCTCTGGCGGTACAGCTTGTTGAGACGCTGGCCGTGGTAGCCGCCGCCCAGGTACATGTTGTACGCGCCATAGGCCTTGCCCACAAAGGCCACCTCTGCCAGCCACGGACGGGCGCAGCCGTTGGGGCAACCAGTCATGCGCATGACAATCGAGTCCTGGCGCAGACCGTTCTCTTCGAGGCAGTCCTCCAGCTTCGAGATGAGTTCGGGCAGGTAGCGCTCGGACTCGGCCATGGCCAGACCGCACGTGGGGAAGGCGACACAGGCCGACGAGCTCAGGCGCAGACCCGAGAACTGCACGTTGTCGAGCTTGTACTTCTTCATGAGCGCCTTAAGCGAGTCCACGTCCTCGTCGGTGACGTTGCTCAGGATCAGGTGCTGGTTGCCTGTCAGGCGGAACTCGCCTTTGTGGACCTTGGCAATCTCGCGCAGACCCGTCTTCATCTGGAACGTCGGGGTGTCCTCAATACGGCCGTTCTCAATGAAGAACGTGAAGTGGTTGAGGCCCTTCTCGTCACGCAGCCAGCCGAACGTGTCAATGTTGGAGTCAAAGTGGAACGGCTTAGGGGCGCCGAACTTCTTGCCCCACAGCTCCTCGACTTTTCCCTTGAAGGTCTCGACGCCCATGTCGTCAATGGTGTACTTGAGACGGGCGTGCTTGCGGTTCTTGCGGTCTCCAAAGTCGCGCTGCACAAGCATCACCTTCTCGCACGCAATGTGCACGTCCTTGGTCTCGACGAAACCAAACATACGACCGGTCTGCGGGTAGGTCTTTTTGTTGTTGTGCGTCGAGCCCATGCCACCACCAGCCAGCAAGTTGTAACCAGCTAGCTTACCGTCGGCGCCCTTGATGGCGATCAGGCCGATGTCGTGAGCGTAGACGTCGGTGTCATTGTGCGGCGGGATGGCAATGGTGATCTTGAACTTGCGGGGCAAATACGTAGGGCCGTACAGAGGTTCAAAGTCCTGCACGGCGTCACCCGCCACCTGGGTCTTCTTGCCATCGTCGTCCGTCAGCCAGATTTCGTGGTAGGCGGTCGTCGACGGCAGCAGGTGGTCGCTGATGAGCTTCGAGCTGGCAAACACCTCGCGGTGGTAGGCCGACTGCGTCGGCAGAGAACTGCACATGACGTTACGGTTCACGTCACCACAGGCCGCCAGTGTCGTCATCAAGGCGCGGTTGATGGCCTGCATGGCCGGCTTGAGCTTGCTCTTGACAACGCCGTGGAACTGGAAGGTCTGGCGGGTCGTCAGCTTCATGGTCTCGTTGCCGAGCTCGTTGGCAATGTCGTCCATTTGGATCCACTGCTTCGGCGTCGAGATACCACCTGGCAGACGGCACCGGATCATAAACGAGTAGGCGGGCTCGAGACCCTGGGCCTTGCGCTCGTCACGGATGTCGCGGTCATCTTGCATGTAAGTACCGTGGAACTTGGTGAGCTGCTGGTCCGACGCGCTGATGGCACCCGTAGACGTGTCGTTCAGGCCTTCCACAATGGTACCACGCAGGTAGTTGGACTGGATCTTCATGTCCTCGTTCGTCAACGGTGGAGGCTCCTCCGGGAGGCCCTCGACCTTGTCCACGCCGAGCGCCTGCCAGATCTTGGGCTCCCAGTCCTGGTAGCCGGTCTGGAAACCATCGGGATCCTGGTCGTCACCGAGACCAATGTCGGCAAGACGCTTGCCTCCCAAGTTGGCAAGCAGTTTATCGAGGTCCTTGCCGGGCTTGTTGTAGTAGACACGGTCCTCCTTGCGGGGCCAGTAGTGGCTGTCACCAAGGGCCATGACGGAGAAGTTGACAGTGGCCAGGTCCAGGTCGGTGTTGTCCTTGACGGCATCCCAGAAGGGACGACCGTTCTGCGGGAACTCACCCTGACCGGCGGTCGACGTAATGAAGACAATGTTCTCCTCTGCCGGCAGGTCCTCGACGGGGTAGTCCTCCATAGCCATAACAGCCGTTTTCAGGCCTCTCGCGCGGCCACGGTTGCCAAGACGCTTGGCGAGGTTGGTGGCATTGCCGTTGTCCGAGGCATACAGAATGGTCAGAGGAGCGCCGAACAGTCCCTCGAGCAGGACGTTATAGGCGTCGCGCGCGCGCCTCTTCTGCTGCTCACGGACCTCGGTGCCAAAGTCCTGGGCAAGACTGGCGGCAAACTTGGGCTCCTTCTGCATGAGCTGAGTGAGCTTATTGTCCCGGTCAAGGAAGCTCTTGAGCTCCTTCTTGATGCGCTCCGAGTCCAGGGAGAAGCTGGGCTCGCCCTTGGCCTCGTTCTCGGGGTTCCAGCGGTACAGAGGCCAGTAGCCAAGGTCGACGGCCGTCTTGGTCTCGCGCAGGATGGTGAGGGGCGAGTCGTGCTCGCCAAAGTACGGCAGGTACGCCATAACGATGGACGGGCCGTTGAACTTGTCAGCCTCGTCCATGGCCTGCAGGACCTGCGTGTAGGAGCTGTAGACAGCGACGGAGGCAACGTAGGCGTTGCCAAAGTTCATGGCGTACAAGCCAATATCCTTCTTTCTGCGGTTGGCGTCGGCAGCGGCACGCTCCGAGTAGGGCGTCGAGTCGATGATGAGCACGTTGACGTTCTCGCCCGACGCAAGGACATGGTGCACGCCGGAGTTACCCAAATCGTAGGACCAGGCGTCAGAGCCCACCAGCCACAGAGACTCCTTGCGGAAGAATTGCTTGGCCTCCAGCAGGCTGCGGGCCGCGTCAGACTTATCGGCAGCGAGCTGCGTCTCGATCTCCTCAGCGACCTCGTCGGACTTCCTGGCATCGTCGGCCACGGACGACCAGCGGGCCAGGAGGGAGTTGGGCGCAGACGATCCGAACTTGCCAGACACGGCAGCACGCTTGACGTCAGCCACAAAGCGCTGACGGTATTCCTTGCGGGCAAGCAGCGAGCCGAAGCCGAACTCGGGGGTGGCGGCAATGGTGTTGGACACACCGGCGTTGTCTGACTCCAGAGCGTTGGCCACGTAGAGGCGGTCGTTGAACAGCTGGTTCAGAATCTTGTTATAAGCGGTCTCAACCTTGGGCTTCTCCAGGTTGTATTCCGAACCCTCGGCGGCAGGAGCCTCCTGAGCGCCAACCTCGAGGTTCTGGATGGGTTTGGCCGCAGTGAGGTTCTGGTGAATGCCGCGCAGGGCCTGGTCGATGGTCTCGGGCGTCAGGTAGCCGAGATGGTAGCCGACAATGGTCTCGACGCCACCAGGGCCGCTCTTCACAGACGTCAGAACGTCCAGCAGGGTCGGGCCCCACTTGGTGGTCTTGCGGCTGATCTGCTCGAGGACGGCGATTCTCTTGGCCGACTTGGGAATGACCTCCAGCAGCTTGGCGGCCAGCCAAGGCCGGTACAGGCGCGGGACCAGGACACCGGTACTGTTCTTGGCGGCAAAGTCACGGTTGGTGAACAGAGAAGCGTCGGAGCCGAAGACAAACAGAATGTTCTCGGCGTTGGCAGGGCCAGTATACTCGAAAGCGCTGTACTTGCGGCCAGTGGCGGCCTCCAGTTTGCTCCAGACAGACGACACATACTGGTAGATGTCTTCGGAGGTCACGGCAGGAACGCTGGGCTCGATCGTGGTGGCTGGCGACGTGGCGGGGGGCGAGCTCGTCGTGCTCTGCTCGCTCGATTTTACGGATGCGCGAGACGAGTTGGCCTTGGACGTGCTGGCGTCCAGGGGAATGGTGAGTTGACCAGCGGGGGCAGGCACAGAGGCGACAGCCTCGACGGATTCAGAC